AGTTTATAGAATTATTGGGAATTATCGACATCGGGGACTATATCCCGTGGCTTTCTTGGTTGCGCCATGTAAATGGTTTGGTGGCCAAGGTAGACAAGGTAGCTAAGCAGTTTGATGACTTCGTAGTTGGAGTTATTCAAGAGCATATGAGATGTAGTTCAAAGAGTGAAGATGATGAGAAGAATGATTTTGTCGACGTTTTGCTTGCAGTTCAGAAAGAAAACTTGTCTGGTATTCCTATTGATACAGTTACTATAAAAGCTCTCATCCTGGTAACCCTCTCTCTCTCTCTCTCTCTCTCTCTCTCTCTCTCTCTCTCTCTCTCTCTCTCTACCTACTTTATAAGTTAGAGGCTAATGTCTTAGTCAACACATTTCATTCTTGTAGGATATGTTTGCTGCTGGTACGGATACATCCTTTGCATTCCTAGAGTGGGCAATGACTGAGCTTTTAAGGCATCCAAGGGTCATGAACAAATTGCAGAAAGAAGTAAGGGGAATAGTCGGAAGCAAAACAGACGTACTCACGGAGGATGATTTGGTCGAAATGCACTACTTGAAGGCGGTGATAAAGGAAACTCTTCGATTACATCCACCACTTCCATTACTAGTGCCCAGGTTGTCGACCCAAGACGTGGAAATAAATGGTTACAACATCAAAGCCAAGACACAAGTCATCATCAACGCATGGCACATTGGAAGGGATCCCAAGGTCTATGACAAACCAGAAGATTTCGAGCCAGAAAGGTTCTTGAATAGCGAGATAAATTATAAAGGGACTGACTTTCAGTTGATTCCCTTCGGAGCTGGTAGGAGGATGTGCCCTGGAATTCAGTTTGCCATGGCAATTAATGAGATTGCCTTGGCAAGTGTTGTGCACAAGTACGATTGGGAATTGCCTAGCGGAGCAAGTGTGGAGGATTTAGACATGACTGAATCTACTGGTTTAACCGTACATTTAAAAAATCCTCTCAAAGCTGTTGCTATTCCATATTCATCTTGAAAGATGGATATAAGAAAATGAAATTCATAGTCCTCCGTATATGTTTGTTATCAAAATAAAATTGGCGATCCTCAAGTTTAACTACCAGATATTCTGGGTTGTTCTGAAATTTTTGTACTTTGGGTGTTGAAGTTGTGCTGTGTGAATCCACTTATGTGTTGTTAGTTTACAGTCGTTGCGAAATGGGGCTCCGTGGGTTGCACGCTATGTATTTGGTTGAATGCCTGACTCAATGTGTGATCTTAGGCACCTTCAGTAATGCTTTGTCAATATGTTTAACAGTATTAGAAGCAATGCTTAGCTTTAGTGTAAGAGTTTCTGGGTCTTCCTCTTAGTAGTGCAGGTTCATGGTGTATGGTAAAGCGCAATCGGAGTGCCGTGGTTGTCATGGACGAATCCATCTTTGGCTCAAGACGAGCATTTTTTCACTTGTAGTTATGGGTGCGAGGACAGCTCTTTGGGTTTTGAAATAGCTAGTAATGGTGAAATGTTGAATTCTCATATCAACACTCACTGCCATATTTCCCATTTGAATCTAGGAGAAACCAGACTAGTTTGATTTTGAATTGCGGATTTATTATTTCCTTCATGAGGTCAGGTTGAAACCCAACTCTTCAAATACACAATGGTGTTTTCCTTATTCATTGTTTCCTGTGTTAAATGCCGAACCACATTACAGGTATGCTGTGGTTTTGCAGGCTTGTTTATCAGAGTACATTTAGACCATTATTTGGAATGAATTCCTTCTAGACTGCACATCTTTATTTCTGTTTAACTACGTATGCAATGAACATATGTCTTTGTTTATTGGAATTACAAGCGACTCGGTGAATTTTCAGGTATTTAATGTTATTCGAAAGCAAGACTGGTACAAACCGGATGTCTATCTGTATAAGGACTTAATTATTGCATTAGCAAGATCTAAGAAAATGCAGGATGTTATGCGACGGAAGTTATCAGGGGTTTTTCCTTCATGAAAAAGGAGGATCTGTTTCCTGATTCTCAAACATATACGGAAGTTATCAGGGGTTTTTTGAACTCTGGTTGTCCTGCAGATGCAATGAACATCTGTGAGGACATGAAGCAGTCTCCAGATCCGCCGGAGGAGCTGCCATTCCGGATTTTGTTGAAGGGACTTCTGCCACACCCCCTTTGTAGAAACAGAGTCGAGCAAGACTTTGAGGAGCTGTTTCCCGAACAGCATGTGTACGATCCTCCGGAAGAGATATTTGGCATGCGCAGCTGAGGTCTGCATTCTATGCTTTTCTCCTACTTCAATCTGTTGTAGAATTTAGCATGCGCTTCTCGCCACACAGATGTTATATTGATTTCATCGGGCTTCAATCTCTCTCTTCATTGGAGGGGTTCGTTGTATCCCAACTGATTATAGGGTCATGGATTGCCTGCTAGTCGGCCAACATATAAACAATCGACAACGGACCTGTCTTGCTGGAGATGGTCTTCGTTTGGTGCTTTCTGCCGTGTCGTGAAATCGGAGTCCTAGCAGTTGAAGGAAAAGAAGACGAACAAGTTTGCCTTGGATTTGGGTGTCCTAGCTTTCTGATTTCTAAATTCATTTGGGTTTTCTCGTCTTTCATGTCGATCTCTGTTGAATTGTTGTTGGGTTAATTTTCATTTGATGGGTTAGTGTATTGGATTGCCATCTTAAACCCTAGATTTTGCTTCATTTGAAATTTACAACTCTAATTGGGGTTGGATTTTCGGAATATCTTCCATTTCTGTTTTTTTGCGCTGAATTTCAGTAATTTTCCTTCATATTTTGGGAAATTTCCTTGAGATTTGGGAAATTTTCATCTTGTCATTTGTTTCTTTGATCTTTGAAGGGTTTTTTTTTTTTTTTTTTTTTTTCCTGATATGAATTTTTGAAGCATAAAAGTCTCTGTGAATTCATTGATTTTGATGTTGAAATAAATCTTTGAAGTATTTTTTCTGATAACATATCTATGCTGGTTATATGGTAAAAGCAAATTCGTAATTCTGATCTGGTCGATACATACTTATGCTGGCATTCAATTAACATAATCATATTATTTGCTGTGTGTTTGTGTACAATGTGAAGAATATATTTAGGTTTTGATCTTACTGATTCAACAAATGCATCCTAATAGATTTATCCGTGCCTAGTACCATCCAAAAAGCTCAGAAATATGGATACGCTGAAGAAAAAATTGAGTCCGTTAAGTTTTATATGGGGAGGAGAATTCTCTACTCTTCTATTCTCTTCCCCTTCTATCCTCTTATCTCACACATTAATTTTTATCTTATTATTTTTATAAAAAAATTAATATAAGATGTTGACGTACTTAATCATAACCGTTCCAATAAAAGAGCATGGAAGAGTAAAGAGATTAGGATGATAGAGAATCATCCTCTTTTACGTGTGCCTCTCCATATTGGCTGTCTTTTCAATCAAAGCTCAGATTACGTGGACCATCTCCTCTTACACGTGGCCTATTTGAGACCAAGAACTTTTATGTTTTAGCTTGTCATATGTACCACGAAGCAATTTGTATGAACAAGAAGACTTCCAAATATGTATGTAATGTTGTAAAAGTAGTGGGATGAAAGCCCACATGAGAAGACTTTAGGATAGTAATGTATTTGTTTTTATCTTAAGTTTTGAAAAATGCTAGCGTAGTAGTTTGTTATTATGCGAAGATTTTCAAAGAAGCAATCACTTTATATTGTACTTTGTCGTAGATGTAACCTTATATAAAGAGTATTTCGTGTGTAATTGCAACACACAGCTAAGAAAAGAAGCAAGGCAATAATATCAGTATCCCTCATTTCCTCATTCCTGCAATCTTTTGTGTTATAGTTACGAAACTAAATAGTGCGATATCTAGCATAGGGATAGGCAAAATACCCTTGGGTTTAAGTAACCGCAGTTGCCTGCCTATTTAAAATTCACGGTTACGGTTATGAGTAACTATTTAGACAAACAAACGGTTATGGGTATAACCGTTTATCTGTGAAATTTAAATGGACGATTATGGGTATCACCCGTGGTTATAACGGATATCAATCGGTTATGGTTAATACTCGCAGTTATAACGAGTATCTATTTACTTATTTATTTTTGTTTTTTACTTTGAAGTTTATTTTTTTTATTTTTTTTTTACTGAGGATAGTGTGCATAATGAGCCTCGATAAAAACCTTACCGGGGATTTCAACCTATTATTGGTGATTCTAATTCAATTTATGCATATGGGTGTGTGAAAAATCATGAAATGTAAACATTCTGTTTATGCATATTGATGAATGGTGATACTAACTCAATTGATTTGGTACTCCGTTTTTGTTTGCTTTTGTTTGCCTTTCTTTTTTCATTTTTTTCTGATAACTAAGTGTACAATGTAAACCTTCTGCAGTCACTTACCTCTGTTAGATTCATGCCAATTGATGTCGATGTTCCTTAATGGGATACTAATTCAATTTATACATTCAATTTATACATTTCTTTTATAGGCCTCTTTTGGCGACAACGAGTCGATGAGACTTTGTGATTGAATGTGCTAAAACATTAGTATTCGAAAGTGTTTAGTTTCGGAATATTTTGGAGCTTTGAATCATCTAGTATTCAAGATAATGACTACTTTTTGTTTTTAGAAGCTTGTAATCATATAGATTATAATTAAAGACCTACTTAGGTGTAGTAGAAAAATATCGTTCATAAACTATTATTTCAATTATTGGAATTGTATGAGAACTTAAATGATTAAAATAGGGAAATGCATGCTAAAATGGACTTATAACGGTGTTTAATTGCCAGAAATCGAAAATTATGACAAAATTTTCTTTTGTAATTTTCAAGTTGTTAGGAAAAAAAAAACCATGTGGGCGGGTGAAAAAATGTGTAAATGGGGAAAAAAAAGGATAAATTCAAAATTGAGTAAATGGTTATGGTTAAATGGGTAAACGGTTATGATTAAATGGTTACACGGTTATGGGTATGCTTAATCGTTTATAAACGGTTATGGGTATGGGTATAACCATTTATGCAATTATCCAACAGGTAAACAGTTATGCAGGTATAAACATAAACAATTATGGGTAAATAACCGCGGTACCTGCCCGTCATAACCGTTGCATATCCCAAATCTAGCACCCACTTCTCTTCTGTCCCTGGTAAATGTTATGTCTCTAACTTTTCCCTATTTATAACATGTAAGCTTCTTTAGCAATTAGTATTTGTTTTTGCCTTATAGAATCATGGGTGATTTTTATAAAGAAAGTTGAAGTTTCACTATGAAATTATTTGGTAATATTGGGAATAACTTGATTTATTTATAAGTCTACGCATGTTCAAAGTTTCTTCTTCTATTAACATGGGATTCATTCTGAACTGTGTGAAGATGTGAAGGTAAAAAAGTTTCATCCAATAAAAGGAGACCAATTTATTTATAAGCCCATAAAGTCTCTCATCTGATCAAGGTGAGATTCGTTCTCAACACATGTGAGGATATAAAAGTAAAATAATCCAACAGCGATGAAAGGAGAAACCTTGCAAGGACTTATAAAACATTGATATTGCCAATTGGTTTTATGGTAGAACCTCAACTTTCTTCATGGTATCAGAGTAGATTGCCCCATGTGTAAAGCCCAATAGCCACATATGCTCCACGTCACTTAATTCGTGTTAGCACGTAGTTGGCTTCAAAATTCAGAACACATGAGAAATAATGAAAGGATATGAAGCTAAAAGAGTGCCACGTCCTCACCCTTTACATTGTATACTGGGATGAACTTACCTTATATAAACACAGAAACGAAGACCGCACAACACACATTTTCTTTTCCAAGATAGGGAAGAAGTAAGAACTATGATGCTGGTGAGTGAAACCTCCTCTTTTTTGCAACCTTTGTTCTTCACTCCGCTGGCCATTTTCCTCATCCTCCTTTACAGATGGTACTCCTCCGCTACAACCACCAACAAGACCCCTTCACCACCTTCCCCACCAAAGCTCCCAATCATTGGGAACTTGCACCAAGTAGGGTTGTACCCTTACCGCTCCTTTCAAGCCTTATCTCAACGCCATGGCCCTCTCATGCTTCTCCACTTTGGAAGAGTCCCAGTCCTAGTTGTATCTTCAGCTGAGGCTGCCCGTGAGATCATGAAAACCCATGACCACACATTTTCTAATCGTCCCAAGTCCACCATCGTTGAGAAGCTTCTGTACAACCACAAAGACGTTGCATTTGCTCCTTATGGTGCGTACTGGAGGCAGGTAAAAAGTATATGCGTCTTAAATCTTTTGACCAACAAAAGAGTTCGGTCTTTTCGCTCAGTGAGAGAAGAGGAAACCAAATCCATGATCAGCAAGATAAAGCATTCGTCATCATCGCTTCTGAATTTAAGCGAAATGTTTGTAAGGCTTGCTAATGATGTGGTATGTAGAGTGGCGCTGGGGAGGACGCACAATGGTGGAGAAGATGGGAGGATGTTTACAGAGCTTTTAAGGGAGTCCATAGAATTATTGGGAATTATCGACATCGGGGACTATATCCCGTGGCTTTCTTGGTTGCGCCATGTCAATGGTTTGGTGGCCAAGGTAGACAAGGTGGCTAAGCAGTTTGATGACTTTATAGGTGGAGTTATTCAAGAGCATATGAACTGTAGTTCAAAGAGTGAAGATGATGACCGGAATGATTTTGTCAAAGTTTTGCTTGCAGTTCAGAAAGAAAACTTGGCTGGTTTTCCTATTGATATAGCTACTGTAAAAGCTCTCATCTTGGTAACCCTCTCTCTCTTTCTCTCTCTCTCTCTCTCTCTCTCTCTCTCTCTCTCTCTCTCTCTCTCTCTCTCAACTTTAGAAGTTAGAGGCTTATGTCTTAATGAACACATTTCATTCTTGTAGGATATGTTTGCTGCTGGTACGGATACATCATCTACATTCCTAGAGTGGGCAATGACTGAGCTTTTAAGGCATCCAAGGGTCATGAACAAATTGCAGAAAGAAGTAAGGGGAATAGTCGGAAGCAAAACAGACGTACTCACGGAGGATGATTTGGTCGAAATGCCCTACTTGAAGGCGGTGATAAAGGAAACTCTTCGATTACATCCACCACTTCCATTACTATTGCCCAGGTTGTCGACCCAAGACGTGGAAATAAATGGTTACAACATCAAAGCCAAGACACAAGTCATCATCAACGCATGGCACATTGGAAGGGATCCCAAGGTCTATGACAAACCAGAAGATTTCGAGCCAGAAAGGTTCTTGAATAGCGAGATAGATTATAAGGGGACTAACTTTCAGTTGATTCCGTTCGGAGCTGGTAGGAGGATCTGCCCTGGAATTCATTTTGCCATGGCAATTAATGAGATTGCCTTAGCAAGTGTTGTGTACAATTACGATTGGGAATTGCCTAGCGGAGCAAGTGTGGAGGATTTAGACATGACTGAATCTCCTGGTTTAACCGTACATAGAAAAAATCCTCTCAAAGCTGTTGCTATTCCATATTCATATTGAAAGATGGATATAAGAAAATGAAATTCATAGTCCTCCGTATATGTTTATTTATCAAAATAAAATTAGCGATCCTCAAGTTTAACTACCAGATATTTGATTTAGTTTATAGCTGTGGATTGCGTCAGTCACTTTACCAATGTAGAACGTATATCTTTTAAGAAAAACTAATGAAAAGAGTTTGAAAAGTTTTAGTTTTAATAAAAAATCATGTTATAAGTTTTGTTTAATGATTAGTATAAGACTCATATTAAAGTAGTCCAACTAAAAATGGCTAAACTATAATAAATTATGATTTGTCGATTTTAACCCTAACAGTTTTTAGGTTGAGTTGCAAATTTTCGTCGTTAATGGAGTTCATCATTGTTTTGCAGACCTTCTTCTTTTTCTTTGAAACAAATATATAGATCCTCGTGTTATTTAATTTATATTTTGTATTATTTCATAGTGTATTCGAGATACTGTTTTTCAAATTTTCATCGTTAGTGGAGTTCATCGTTTGTTTCTTCAGAAAATAAATTTGAGATCTGCATGCTATTCAATAATAATGACGTGTCACTGTTTCTGGACTGTAAAAATAAACTGTTTCTAGATTTTAAGTAATATTGTTTCTTAAATCTAAGCCACTGTTTCTGGAATTTAAGTCATTGTTTCTGAATTCAAATGAAATAGACACACTGTATCTTAAACGTAAGCTAGAAAAGAAATAGTGAAATTTACTGTATTTAGATTCAAAGCAAAATATGCATCATGTTTCTTAAATATAATCAACTGATGCATGAAAGAAAAGAAACAATCAAAGGTTAAAACATAGACTGTTTCTGGAATTTGAGTCACTGTTTCTGGAATTTAAGTCACTATTTCTGGATTTTGATTCTTTTCTTTCTAGATATAATGTTTGTTTGTGCACAGACAAAACAAACACTGTATCTGATTTTTTTTTCGATGAATGCTTCATTTTTCAACTTTGATTTGAACTTTAATTTGGTTGTTTTTGAAATGGGGGAAATCGATTTGATAGGAAGACAGTGAGTTATTATTGCGGTTTCATGCTGGGGTGAGGTTGGTGAAAAGTCAAGACATATTAAATCATTTAGGGATATTTACAGAAGTGTAGATTTGTAGTGGGTTAAGCTTGTAAGTTTAACTCGTGAACAATAGTTTTGGATGGTTTTTTATTGAACTTTGAGCCATTTTGGTTAAATAACATTTTGGGATGATTTTTGGTTAAATATTTGTTGTCCCAAGCTGTTTTCATTAAATCTCCCTATCTTTTAATGAAGAGGTTATGGACTTGCACCTAAACCACAACACAAATTCCCCCACATCCTCTGCACCCTCCACCACCGCTGCTTCTCAATTTTGTGAAGAAAACAGCACAATGCTTAACCTTCTTGAACCTCTACCACTGAACATGAAGTCAAGCAATGACTCCATTCCTTCTCGATGGAGGATATAGGAGGAGGAGACGGGGATAGGTTCGACGGAAGCAGATGTTGTGGGTGGGTTCAAAGAAGGCAAAGATTGAAGGAGGAGAGAAGGTGGGTTCGACGAAGGCAAAAGTTGGAGGAGGATAGGGTTAGCCAGATTTGTAACTGAAGAGGTAATAGAGGAAGAAGATGGTGAATAAACACACAAGCACATAAGACGCACAAGTGCAGCAGACACGCAATTTCTCCTCTTTCTTCTTCTTTTTTTTTTTTTTTTTTTTTTTAATTTTTTTTTTTTTTAAACAGGACTATGATGCCGATGAACAAAACATCCTGGTCTTCGCAACCTTTGGCCTTCGCATATATAGCTGCCGATTTTCCTAATCGGAGCATTTGTGTATGTCTGTAATGTTTCTTTTGCGGAACTTAGTTGGTCAATGACTAATAAAATACAGCGTCCTCCCAAACACTATACGAACTAGCCCTCTTTCGAGGGATTCCTACTGGATCCTTTTTGTGAGAATTCCGGAAATCCTCAAATCACATCTATTTTTTATTTAAAATTAAATATAAATAGTATCTGAAAAAAAAAAACTGACCGCACGATATACGATGAACGAATCTGATTAGAGAATTTCCTGAATCCTCATAAAAAGGATAATGATCCTCTCTCCCCTCTTTCCCCAAAATACCACTAATTTAATTTCTTTCCATGAAGTACAATATGAATAGTAAGTTAAGGGTGCTTTGGGTTAAAAATGACTCAAGAGAGTGTATTTCTATATTAAAACCATTTTCAGTTGGCGAGTTTGTAGAAGAAGTCTGTTTGTTTCGCTCCCGACGCAAGATACTGTTATCTCTAAAATCATGTCATGAGTTTATTTACTAACTATAATTTAATTTAGTCTTTATGAAAAAAGAAAAATAATTAAAATATTGGGGAATACAATTAGGAAAATTTCAACAATTGTTTAATTGATAGGATATCGAGAAAGAAATAAATGGTAATTTTATTATGAATCATTTAGCTATTATTCTTTTCTTTAAAGATTTAATTAAATGTATAAGTAACCTTAGTTACAAGATTTTAGAGAAGAGATAACGGTTATCTGAGATTAGAAAGATGAGCAAAATGCGCTCTTGTAAAAAAAATTATTGTTCTAAAAATCTTTGTTTAATGTCGCCTAGGCCCCGCCTAAGCGCTAGACGATTGGTCACTACCCCGATTAATCCTTAGGAGTTTAAAAATTAAGAAATGACACCTAGACCTACTAAGGGTTGGTTTGTATTGCTGTGCTTTGAAAAAAAGCTGCTTCTGCTGTGCTGTGAGAATAAGCAGCTGTGAAATAAAGCAGCAGAGTGTTTGGTAAACTTTTTTGTAAAAGAGCTTTTGAAAAAAAAAAAAAAAAAAAGGTAGTATTATAGTGTTTGGTAAACTTTTATGCAAAACAGATGTGAAAAAAAGCCGGTTTTTCAAAGCTGGGTTTTGCAGCTTCTTGTTTTTGGTTTTTTTTTCACCCAAAACTGTGAAAAAAAAACTAAGGCTGAATGTTTACCAAACACAAAAACAGCTTCCAGCTTTTTTTGATACTAGCTTTTTTCAGAATCACCTCAGTACCCAACCAGGCCTAAGACCTCCCCTAGATTGCTTAGGCAGCTGCCTAGCTCACCAAGACCCGCCTAGGTTGCGACTCACTTGGACAGAAAATAGATAACTTTTATTTTGCATTTTATTCTTTTCAATAAATTGTAAGAGATTTGTTAAATACTTAAATGAACACATATTATATGCTTGTTTCCTATGTTTTCATTATGTTCCAATAGCTCAAAATATATATGTCATTCTATTTTGTAGTTTATGATAAAATTATATATATTTTAAGTTTAAATAGACACTTATTTACACAAAAATCTACATAATCGTCTAAACACTAGGCCCCAGTCCACACCGCTTAACTAACACCTAACGTCTTTTAGGGCCTTAAAAAAACAACTAAAGCCAATTTCAATCTATGAAAAATTTATCATGCACTTTATAGTTTCTAAATTAAAAAAATATATTTATAACAAGTGTATAAATATCACCGACCAACTCGTTCCCTTCATCACCCTCACTGCGGATCACCAACTCGTCCCCTTTACCAAACCTCCAATGGCGACTCGTGCATTTTGGCGATCAAAGTTCGCATTTTTCTCTTCAATACTCCTTCAAAACCTGAAAACGACGCCCATCAAGTCGACCCCAATGCTTCTAAAATCCACGGAACTTGAACTCGAGTCCTGGAGATCCATTCGTGGGCTGAGGCTGTATCACGACGGGAGCCCCAGAGGACCGCTCTGGAGGGGCAAAAAGCTGATCGGCAAAGAAGCGCTTTTCGTAATCTCGGGTTTGAAGCGGTTCGAGGACGACGAAGAGAAGCTCGAGAAGTTTGTAAATGCCCGCGTTTTGAGACTGTTGAAGATGGATATGATTGCTGTTCTCACTGAGCTCGAGCGCCAGGAAGAAGTCGCTTTGGCAATTAAGGTATCGAATTTCTGTGATTAAATTTTGTGAATTTTTTGCATTTGATCTTCTGGGTTGTTCTGAAAGTTTTGTACTTTGGGTGTTGGAGTTGTGCTGTGTGAATCCACTTATGTGTTAGTTTACAGTCGTTGCGAAATGAGGCTCCGTGGGTTGCACGCTATATATTTGGTTAAATGCCTGACTCAATGTGTGATCTTGGGCACCTTCAGTAATGCTTTGTCAATATGTTTAACAGTATTAGAAGCAACGCTTAGCTTTATTGTAAGTGTTTCTGGCTCTTCCTGTTAGTAGTGCAGGTTCATGGTGTATGGTAAAGGGTGATCGGAGTGACGTGGCTTTCTTGGCCAAATCCATCTTTGACTGAAGACGGGCATTTTTTCACTTGTAGTTATAGGTGCCAGGACAGTTCTTTGGATTTTGCAATAGCTAGTAATGGTGAATTGTTGAAATCTCATTCATGAGAGTCAAGACGACCATATCAATACTCACTGCCATATTTCCCATTTGAATCTACGAGAAACAAGATTAGTTTGATTTTGAATTGCGGATCTATTATTTCCTTCAAGAAGTTAGGTTGAAACCCAACTCTTCAAATACACAATGGTGTCTTCCTTATTCATTGTTTCCTGTGTTAAATGCCAAACAACATTACAGGTATGCTGTGGTTTTGTAGACTTGTTTATCCGAGTACATTTAGACCATTATTTGGAATGAATTCCTTATAGACTGCACATCTTTATTTCTGTTTAACTACATATGCAATGAACATGTGTCTTTGTTTATTGGAATTACAAGCAACTTGGTAAATTTTCAGGTATTTAATGTTATTCGGAAGCAAGACTGGTACAAACCGAATGTCTATCTGTATAAGGACTTAATTATTGCATTAGAAAGATCTAAGAAAATGGAGGATGTTATGCTACCGTGGGACAGCATGAAAAAGGAGGATCTGTTTCCTGATTCTCAAACATATACGGAAGTTATCAGGGATTTTTTGAACTGTGGTTGTCCTGCAGATGCAATGAACATTTATGAGGACATGAATCAGTCTCCAGATCCGCCGGAGGAGCTGGCATTCCGGATTTTGTTGAAGGGCCTTCTGCCACATCCCCTTTTGAGAAACAGAGTCAAGCAAGACTTTGAGGAGCTGTTTCCCGAACAGCATGTTTACTATCCTCCGGAAGAGATATTTGGCATGCGTGGCTGAGGTCTGCATCTATGCTTTGCTCCTACTTCAATCTGTTGTAGAAATTAGCATGCGCTTCTCTCCACACAGATGTTATATTGATTTCATCGCCGGATTAAAAGTTATATGGTTTCAGGGCTTAAATCTCTCTTTTCATTGGAGGGCTTCGTTGTATCCCAACTGATTATAGGGTAATGGATTGCCTGCTAAAACCTTTAGGTGGTTTATCCCATACATGTAAAATTGTTATCCTTCTTTAGAGCATCAAAGATCGGAGTTCTTGGAACGTAACTTGTCATATTTTGTACATGTTCTTGTAGGCATGTAAACTTTTGACCTGACTATGTTGACAAAGATGAGCACATATGATTGATTGTTGTTTTTGTACCCTTTGTATCTTGGTACTGCTAATCTCCAAGTTTAGAAGGCTGCAGTAATACTTGGGATGCAATGCAGTTGAGGGGCTTTTATGTAAGGAGAAATAGAAAGAACTATAACTTGGTTTTGGGACGGGTTTAAATTGGATTGGGCCTGACTGAATTTGAATTGGGCTGTCTAAGATAGAAAATTGTCCAGTAACAGTGCTTTGCTAAGAAAATCATTGATTAACAAATTTTTGAAGAAGAATGTTCCGTCTCATTTGAACTTTCTTGTTCTATTTATTTGGCTCTCTTTCTCATTCGACAATGTTGCATGATGGGTTACACCGTTATTTTCTAGGTCGCCCTTGAAAGACCAACTCTGGTAGAAATCAACCAATTCCAAATTCATTTAGTCATCTAAGATATAGATCAATGTTATGGAAACACTTAAATCTTAACAATATTAAATGATCAATTAATGATTTTTTATTTGATTGATTGTCAACAAAGTTGATCTTTAAAGGTTGAACTAGAAAAGAGACAATTCCGGTCATTATGCAACATTGCATAATGAAAAAGAGAACCGAAAATACAAAATGAGAAGATTCGATCGAGATCCTAAGAAAGTCTGATGTAATTTTTTTTATATTCTCAAGTACCCTTATTTTATATTATTTTTAATAAAAAAAGGTTCCCCAAGCCTTATTACTCAAAAACCAAGAATAACCAATCACATTTTACTTTCATGTGAATCCTACGCGAATTCCAACTGTCTTTTGATTCTTTTAGTGCAAGTAGACATTCGAATGAGAATAATTCGTATTTCTTGCCTTTCCATTCAAAGTAAAGTGAAAATACTACTTTTCTTTTACACTTTTACTCATTTAGTTTTAAATCGTTAAATTTTTATTTTTTATTTTTTGGTTGAAAACGGGGCATAAATCCAAAAGATAAGGAAAGACTATATAAACATATTACGAGGCCACGAAATTCCAGTTATATCTACAATCGACGACAACAAGAAGGATGAGCTTGCTAAAAAAGACCGGACCCAAACTGCATGACAAACCCAAACAAGCCAAATCATCAGCAACAAAATTATTTTCATGGTAAATACGTCAAATTTCACAAGACCAACTTGGTGCATAAGTGCATGACAATTCAATACCAAACTTCTTAGAAGGTGATTATCTACTTATGCATTTAAAATCAATTGTAGGGCAAGTGCAGCATCCGATTCAACTATAATCTTCTTAATTCTAGTATTCTACGCAAGCTGCAACCCAATAAAAACACCCCAAACTTCAGCACTTAAAATCTCACCTCGACCAAGATTAGCACAAAAACTAAAGGCCCACATCCCCAACGCGTTTCCAAGGACACCGCCAACACCAATGAAATTGGCCACCCCCTTATGACACCATGAACATTAAGCTTTAGCCAACCCTCAAGAGGAGGTTCCCAATGAAGAAAAGTGTGTGTTCGAATGGACTTTATGGAGGAAACCATATTTGCCTGAAGCCAATCTTTCAAGTAGACAATAATAACGGATTTGGGATCATTACGGAGAGCAAAATCCTGTTCAAAAATACTCTTGTTTCTCCAGTGCCACAAGAACCCGCACACTTGTAAATCCTAGTAAATTATGTGTAGGAATCCTATGAGATTAAGAAGATATTTCCTTGTACAACTTGTATTACTTGAAAAGAAAATTTCTCTCTCATTTGTTAATATAAATAAAGATACAAGATATGAAGAATATCACACTCAAGAATTCCTCAAGCACTTCTCTTCTCTCTGAGCGATCTTCCTCTCTCTTCCCTCACTAAATTCATACTCGAACCGTATTTTTCACACTGAAGGACCAAAGCATGGGAATTTTTTGCTGAAGAAATCCAACTGACCTATATAGTAAGCAAAAGTGACACATCCAGCTTTAAAATTAATCACCAAAACCTATACATATTCTTTCAAACCAAATAATTGTACCAACTTTGTCGTAAGCAATCCACTTAGTACAAGAAGTCCCACTTCAAACCAAAACCCATATCCAAACAAAATTACATTCATAATACCATGTTCACACAATCTGCATTTTTCCTATTCATGACATCTCAGGGTTTTGGAATATCTTTCCAATGCAGTACAAGATAGGAATATGATTCCAATCCTCATAAGAACGTCAGATGGAAGCTTGTGTGGAGGTTGGACGCGGCAAGTGGATAATATGTTCTGATATCATTTTAGGATATGAGCATCTACTCTAAAGTTTTTACACAATGAGTGCGAAGATTCAAGATCGTTTAGACACTTGTTGCAAGCCCTTCATCTCCCATTGTGAAAACAAAATCACATTATTCATACAAACGGCGAAAATCTAGAACGAACCAGGTTGAACAATTGAATATACAATCAAAGATCCAAATTCAACTGCCAAAGATACCAGTACATAAAATACTCCGATTTGCACTTATAACACCACAAAGTTTTAACTAAGATTTTTCTACATGTTCATGAGCTATGGTCCTACATAACACTGGTGGGTTTATTCATGAATCGTGCCTTGATATCAATAGCAAGAGAATGTTGGACCATGAAGCATATCGGACAAAGCAAGGCTTATCTAATTATCCACTTGGTGGGATCAGAAGCTTTCAGATTCATTTCTCCTATCCCTCACTTGAAGTCATCGACTCATATATCCCACAAAATATAATCGAACAATGGGGGCCATTGGGGGAGAGGAATTAAAAGTCGAGTCCAGGCCTAGAGTGCTCGAGAGAGATGAGATGAGGATACCCCACAGTATCAATACAGAAATTGTCATAGTTAGTATGAAAGTTCGGGATTCGATCTATATTTTAAATCAAATTTCGTAAATCAAATGATGTGATTGCTAATGATTGAATTATTAGTTAAATGTTGATTCGCATACTTATTTCATATTGATGACACGCAATTTGGTTTAAAATTTTGATCTTCCTAGCATTACTCTCGAAATAATATGGCACTACCGTACATCCACTTGGCAAAGGAGTGGAGCCCACGTGGCACCTATCCATTATGTTTGTGGGGAAAAGATGATTACAGTGTTCAACTAAAAAAAAAAAAAAGATGATTATAGTGAGGAAAACAGAAGGGCAAGTTCCAAATCATTTTTGATGAGGAGAAACAAATCTTTGGTTGCATGAAAACGGAAGAGCGTTTCTTTTTCTTGGGGTGATGATGGCACATGAGCGGCACTACATGCAGTACCGTCTTTTATACAGCAAGTGCCTATATAAATTTTGAGTTTTGGATACTCTGTGTGTCATCATCTTCACCCCGTGCTCTCTCTCAACTTTCTGTCTGATTTCTTTCTTCCTCTGCAAATCTTACCTGCTTTGTTTCTTCAACTGGGTTTTTTTCTTGGAAGCTGCTTTTTTGGAAAGTGTTTTTTTATTCTGGAGTTGGCTCTTCTGGTTGACTTAGAGAAAGAGAGGAAGTAAAAAATGGAGAGTAACAATAAGAAGCCGGGCAATTCATGTTCCTCATTGACTGCTGATCTTTTTGGTACCAAGGAATCTCCTCCCAAGTCTTCTACTGGGATTTTTGCTTCCATTTTCCCACCTCCATCACAGGTAGTTATGATTCTTCTACTGCGTTCATATTTATGCTTTCTGTCTTTTTTTTTTTTTTTTTTTTTTTTTTTTTTTTTTTACTTGAGCAATACTGGAAAGGGAGATTCAAATTTGAATACTAAGAGCACACCGCTCCAGTTAATTTGCCTAAGCCCGAGGAGGATTCAGGGTTGATTTAAAATTGAAAGCAGATAAATTGGGAAAGGATGAACTTTATTCATTGGGTGCATATATATGCTTCTTGTTATAATTTTTTATATAATTTCTGAACTTTATGTATAATAGTGAATTGAAAATTGCTTAGAAAGGAAATGCGAAATATTGCAGAGAAATACCAAAAGGGGAAATGAAAAAGTTTTTTGGGTTGTTTAAGCAAAACATGATTTGGGTTCTTAGTGGATTTGTTGGTTAGGTTTTTGTGATAAGGGGGAAAGCTGACAACCCAAAAGAAAAAAGCACTATTTTTCCTCATGGTACTCATAGCTCTTTGTATGGCATTATTCTCTAGCTTAGTGGATGGAAAAGTGAGGGGCTTGTGAATAGAGGTGCACAACTGGTCGTCTTTAAGCGGGCTGGTCTTTTGAAGGATCCAGGGCGGTCCGGCCCATTGTACACCTCTGCTTGCTAGTGTTCCATCCACTGAAAGTGTCTTTGGCCACTACTAGATCTTGTGTTGAATATATGCTCTAGTATCTGACATTTTTTACCTGATTTAATTTTAAGGTGGTTGGGAGGAACTCTTCAAGCTCTGAGCTGACAGAATATTGGCAGCAGCAGTCCTTGAGAAATCATGCACGGAACACCAAGCAAGGTACTGCAGGTTTGTATCATGTTGATTTTAGTTTCTTTGTTTTCTGTTCTTACCTTTTTAAAAGCAGTCCTACTGTTGATATTCTACCATGTCTAAAGTTTCCGATTAACGAACTTTATTGGATCATTTATGCCTAATTAATGTAGAATTTCTTGTATTACTCCTAACTGGAAGAAATCTTGTTTGATAGGCAACATTTCTACTTTGATAGATGTTTAAGTTCTTAGAACCGTACTGTTTAATCTCTGCTACGATTATGTTCCATCGTCATCAGATTCCCTGCATTCTCTAACACTAGCCCCTTGGCACACACGCTACTTTTATAGGTAACAAATTATAACTCACTTTTTGTATGATTAAAACAACCCGACTTTAAGTTACTTGCTTGACTGCCTAATTCTTTTCGACGCTTTCTGGACATATTTTTGTTTTCGTTTTTCAATTTAAGAGTTTGTTAATGTGATATTATATCCATATATGATGAAGGGTTTTCTCTTTTAGCATTTTCATTAACAAAAAGGGCATTTGATGGATTTTTGAATGTTTAACCTTTAACGCTTTCTTTATGTATAAGTATACGGATTATCGTATGTTAGTTTTGCAATTCTCTACAACCTCTTGATGTTGGATATTGAACTTTGTTTTTAAAGCTTATTGCCTCGGCCTTTGCATTTTTCTCGAACTATATAGCTATAAGTAGCGAAGGTGCACGCTATAGCATACCCAACAAGGACCGGAGTTCAGTCCTTCAGGAAGAAAGAGCAGAACCATGTTATCTAAGTTCATCTATTTACTATGGTGGGCAAGAGGTGTATTCCCAGTCCCCAAGGACCCATGCCTCTGGATCCTATCCTATAGTGAGTCTTGATGAGTTGATCACATAATATACAGACTTGTACCGTAATATTAACGCTATCAACATGATTAACGGATAAAAGGATATGAAAAACTTATTCTGTTTGTTACTCTGTGTGAATTAGTTCAAGAAAGATGCGGGAGAAGATGATCCAAATGGAACCAACTCGAACAGTGCCGCCCGAGGAAATTGGTGGCAAGGTACTGATATTGGAGATGACATTAGTAGTATTAATAATTTAGAGCTACATTGTAGAGGAGATCAGCGTATGAACTTCTGACTTGCGTTTCTGCAGGTTCGCTCTATTATTAGGATTTTCCCTTCACTGTCCATATGAATTCTTCATCTATTTTTCAAGGTATATTCATTCACTCTTAGATCAATTTCTCGAAATAAATTCTCTTATTACTTCAACAATTTAATAAGATCAGAACGTCTCTTAGCATTGCGTTTTCTCCCTTTCACAAGATAAATAGTCACAATATATTGTCCTCTTTTCAATTTATATGAATTCATGAAGCCTGGCATACTGTAAAGATATCACGTAAGGGGCTGATGTAAGAAGATTTTATGTTTTGCAGGAATTCACTGGGCCTGGGGTTTAAGTATGCAAGTGTAATATAAATAAGTGGCTGATGTGCGCATTGGTTGCAAAAGATGCTGGACAGGAAGTGCAAGCTTTTATGTCGGTATGGTCAACTGTTTCATTGGACTTTTTATCAAGAAGATGGTTTTCCGAAAATGTAGTGTTCTTACCACCCTCCGCCGAACTATGTTCTGTGTGTAGTTTGAAAGTTGTTTATCCTGTTAAATTAAAGCCCGTGGAGGACTCACGGGCGAATGATATGAGCCCCTTGCTCTTTCATTGTGAACATATATGCTTGAAGTGACTACGGTTTCTTATGAAATGTGTTTTGTATTATGACGCGTTTACGGTTTGTTGAAGAGTAATGCATTTCCATTAGATTAATGCTCATAGTTGCTGGCTAAGCAAAACTAGAACCTTGTTCGTTCGAAAGGCAGAACTAGAAGCCACCATGGAATCTGATATTGGCTAAGCAAAACTAGAACCTTGTTCGTTTGTCTCTGCCTTGCTGCCTGGCCTTTCTGCTTCAAATCTCATCTGCCATCACTCCAAACTCTATAGAGGATCTTCTTTAGTGAAGCTCTGGCAAGCTTTGTTGCCGTTACTGGCTTCCCTGAGAGCATTGCTTCCAACAATGTACGATGCAATCCCTGACACGAAGAGTCAGATTCACAAAAAATATCAACTGCTCAATTGCGTTGTAGAACTCAGTAAGCTGAGCTTGTTCCAGTGGCCCCAAAACAAGTATATTCGTTCCAAGATCTCTGTACCTTGCACCCCAAGGACCATTCCCGTCAACCAGAACAACAACAGTTTGCCTAAATGCATCATTTTCTTTGAGAATTTGCTTCAACGCTTCGAACATCAGCAGATGCCCTTCATCCCTCATCAACCTCCCAGCCATTCCCAGAACTAGTCTTAGATTCCGGCACCCCAAACTTTCTCCTAAAATCCTTTCTCATGGCAATGTCCCGCTTGAAAACCTCCTCATCAACCCCGTTAAGAATGATGTGAACGTGATCATCGGGGATCATGTAAATCCTCTTGAGTACATCTCCAACATGGTCACGGGTAGCAACATGGCGAGCGTAACTAGGGAAAATCATTACCTCTTCAACAACCTTCATAACTTTTTCAGTCCGTGCATACCCTTGTGGTTTTTCATGGCTCCATAGAAGTTCTTGTATGATGTCGGAATGAATGGGGTTTTGTATGCAATCCCATGCCAAGAAACAGCAAGGTTCGTCTGGTTACGCGCTCAAGTATGCAAGAGGCCAACACTTTTGGTGTGGATCACATCGAAAGGCCTTACTGTAGGGTTTTGAGATTGAAGCATCTTCCAAATCAGAGCTTGGTCCAGATAGCCCGCAGCTGTTGGTTTCGAAAGGTGAAAGTACAAATTGGGCGTCGGGTAGCTTGAACAAGAGGAATTTGGAGAAAGCGATGTGGTAAAGATGTGAAGCTCCTGACCTCTTTTGGCAAGGGCAAGGTGGAGGTCAAGGCATGCCGTTCCATGCCCATTTGAGATCTATGAGGCCATTTCTTGACAAACAGAGCAATTTTACGAAGCCTCGAAGGCGGCATTGAGGAAAAAGCAAGCTGGTTCCATGCTGAAGGGAATGCAAGTAGGTTATTGATTTGGTAGCATGGACTATATATGGTAATTGTACCAGTACATGAATGAGATAAATGAACAGACACAAAAAAACCAAAACCACGCAGCAAAGACGGCGAAAATTGAGCAGAGTAACTGAATCCTTTGCCATGGAAGAAGTATGCAAGAAAAACAACTATACCAAAATTTGGAAAGTGATGAAATGAGACTCAGTTTCTGATTCAAATGGTACTTGCACGTGGGGGATCTACAAAGAACAAGTTCAACAGAAGCAGTTCCTGTAGAATTGGCAATCTCGATAGATTGCTTATGAAGAATTAACGAACCTTGTAATTCTCCTTAATATTAGCCTACTTACAAGAATTAACGAACCTTGCAATTCTCCTGAACATCCTTTGATTTCATAAATTAATATTAGCCTACTTACAAAAATTTCAGTCAGGAGTAAATTCATTTAAACACAAGTAATTCTCCTTAATATGTTATGAACAAGTAATTCTCCAAGACTGACGATTGATTCTCTAAATTATTCAATGAGCATGGCATCTATTTGCACATTCTCTCTATGGCTATAGATGAAATTAAACAAGTAAGAACTCATTAAATTCTATGTAAATCGTTGAACAATCAAACAAACCTTACTTGCATGGCATTTACAATTAGGAGTTCTTCAGCATGACATAAACTCTAGCTGGCATCAAATCAACTCAATTAAAACGTAGATTATGATCAAGCATCTAAATAATCAAACCTAAAATCCCCATTTAAATTAGACTTAAACTTTAGGATTCTAATCTCGAATTTGCTCACAACTTAGTACTTAGAGAGCCTAAGCAAGTGGTCATTTACCATAGTGGTGGAGAGGAGTGTTGCCTTTGCATCAGGGCGTGGGTTTAAACCACGTTGGCTTCCTATTCTAACATCTAATCTAACAGATCTATCGTCTAATTAAAAAAAAAAAGTACGTAGAGCCTAAAATAGAAACTCTAAAGGAAGATACTACACCATAAATAATCAAACCTATCAATTTATCAAAGCTTAACATGATCGATCACTAGGGACAGTAAATTGGTACACATTTAATTAAATGGAGATCCATTTAAGTGTACTTATGTGTTAACTGTGGTGATGAGTGGTGATATTTGTGCTTGTAATGGCAACGATGTTGATATATGGAGCATCCATTAACCATCTCTATCAAGGACAAGTGAAATTTATTCAAACTACGTCCTATATACTGAATTTATATACATATAATTTATATTAAGATGCAAAGAAGATGCACAAATTTAACATTTCTTTTGATTAATCATACGTTTCTATCTCGTAAAAGGATGTAGCACAAGAAAAACATAGATAAAAAGAGCTAGAGGAACCAAAGTCACCAGAGGACCAATTGCAGCCAAAGTGTAAAGACTCCCACAACCCAATCTCCCCAATTTGATCTGAACCAAGTCCACCAGCGCCATCATCAAAAAGCCACATCCCAAAACAGACCCGAAAGCCGAAACCAGCGTCCCGACCCGCAAAGCTACCCGGTTCACATGACCCACGTGCGAACCGGAGTCACCGCCATTTTGAACCACAATGTCTCTGCTGATCTTGATGGCTTGCTTGAGGGCCAAGGCAACGAGGCTGGAGAAGAGGAAGGAGCTGAAGGAGTACACGTGGAAGGCGATGAGGCCCTCTGCGGAGGAGACCCCAGCGGCGCAGGCCACGTCGGAGCCAATGAGCATGGCGGCAGGATCGGTGGTGGGGTAAAACGTGAGGCCGACGAAGAGCGCGAAAGAGAAGAGTGAGTTGACGTTGACGATTCCGTCCAAGGCCATTATGTGGATTCGAGTGGTGGATATTGGAAGGCACCGTGACGCAGCGGACATTTCCGGTTTCTTGGTTTTGGTGGCGGTGTAGGTGGTGGAAAAGAAAACGGAAAAAAACATATTTTTGTGATTTAATGGGAGTGTCTTTTTTTCTTTTTTTTGCTTTGTACGGTGATAGTGGTGGAGTGGCTTTGAAGCTTGAAATTTGGAATCAAGGGTTTGCGTGTGTGTTTTTATGGGTAACGTGTTTTTACAGGCAAGGAACTGAGAGGAAGGGGAAGAAGCAAGAGACTAGTGAGAGTTCGCAAGGTGTGAAAGTAAAAAAAATAATGTTTGGAAAAGCAAAACATTACGCCGTTGCCGGGGATCGAACCCGGGTCACCCGCGTGACAGGCGGGAATACTTACCACTATACTACAACGACTTGTTGAGATGATACTAACATGATATATTTATATTGTAAGAAGCTAATCACCAGTTTATTGTAATTCGAGACCAGCTTTTTTAAGGCAAATGTTTGAAACAACTCTGAAGTTTGTCAAGTTTACACCTAGTATAACCCCTTGGCCTGTGAAAGTACCCCGAATGCTTAGGTCGACTATAAGGTCGACACCAGAAAATTTATCGCTCATTAAGCGAGGTCATTTGGTATAATTCCCCTACTTGTTTCTCTAAGTAAAATGATGCCACCATATGAGGTTTTACAATAACGTTTTACGATATGATTTTGATTTTCAATCCTAATATAGTGTGCAATATTGAGTGCCACATAGTTGGAGAAAATAAAAGTTGAGAGAGAAAAGGAATATTAGGTTTTGAGAATTTTGAACTTGTACAAACGTCAAGAGGATTCTTTATCAATTCAGCTAAAAGAAAATGCAAATTGGGAGCTACATGATTCAAGTTCATTATTCAAACTGATACAACAGGAGTAGTTTCATACAAACAAAGATTAAATTATTGAGTACATATATGCAAACTGGGAGGCACATAATTCAAGTTCATTAACTTTAGCAACAAGCAGTACAACATCCATTTATCTCCCCTCATCAAGCTCGTTTTAGAGGTACAGAATCTAAATCAGGCAATATGATCCTTGACAATGGTAACAGGGCAGATTGCATTTGCCATAACGTAGCTGGACACACTTCCTAGCAGCACCCTAAAATATATTCAACAAAATATCCAAGAATTATACTGTGAATTGTAATATGTAGCACAAGTGTTCGATGTATTAAGTTTGGGTTCTTCTTTTATTTACCTTTGAATGGAACCAAGGCCCCTGCTGCCAAGGACCAAGCAGTCGAGTTTTAGTTCTTCAGCTGCTCCACAAAGTTTCTCTCTTGCATCTCCCCAGTAGATCTTTGCCACCACCGTCGCCTATAACCATCGAAAATGTTCTTGTCAGACAGTTTCTATCATGTCAAACCATCAACCAACATCATTGATTAATTGAATTTTCGTTTTTAGGTTTGATAACAAATTAACAGTCTAACAACACAATGTATTTGATATCTAATCACGTTTCAAATTTATACTTTCAGACAAATAAATATATTGTCGAATCACAAATTTAAACAAGAATTAATTAATTAGCATAATTAATAGTTCATCAAGTTCATGGGCAAAAAAAAAAATTTCTGAACCTACAAATTACATAAACTGGGGATGAATACAAAAACTACACATACATGTTTCTGCCTCGACACTGTGTCAAGCAAATCCAAGACCTCTGCATCAACCTTGACGTCGTACTTCTCCATCACCAATTTTTCACGGAACTCCGTGAATGGAATCAGAGCTGCATAATCAAACATCCAAATCACAAGCTCAAAAAAATCAAAATCATCAGACAGAAAATACGATATATGCAATAAAACTTGATGAATAAATAGGATGAAATTTTGAAGAAGCAATAAGATAATGAAAATTAAAGTACAGTACGTGATCCGGTGGAAGACCAAAGAGTGCTGCGACTCTCATCGCCCTGAGAGGGCTTGACATGGATGACATACAAGGTGTCACCCTTTTCGTGGATCAGATTATCGATGGCCCATTTTAGAGCAAGCTTGCATCCTTTGGAGAAATCAACGGCTACCCCGATTTTCCTATCCCTTGTCATGGTATCGAAACACACCAAAACCAATTAGCGTGAATTACAGAACAAATGCTTGAGGGCCTTGAAATTGAACAACTTAATGGCAGTACTGAGTTATACAGTAGAAAAAAACTAGTAGTTAGATCTGAGCGTTGAACTTTTGGTAGCTAGGCTTTGCATTCAAAGTCAACAGAGCCTGATATTTTGATGTATATCTGTAATCCATGTCACAATCCACATGTGCAAATTTTTTTTTTTTTTTGTTTGAGCATGTGTAAAAAGTCTAACTATGCGGTTTGATTGCTTACCACTTAGTAAATAGAGTTGTGAATAATTTGCGCATCGAATGGGAATTGTGGCTTGGTTTGGTTCATTTCTACATCTTGGGAACGTGGCTCGATTTTCATCTTGAGAGAACAAGGACAAAACAATTGTCTTAATGTCTATTTGGCCACGCCTCGACACATGATATTAGAGCTCATGTATTATAGAACTTAGTACTCTATATTGAAGTATAAATTCATCGTTTTCTTAATATTATATTATATGACATGAATTTATAGCGTGAATCATAACTCGTCGATGTATTGAGGACTGTTTGTTGGCGGGTCCAACTTGGCAACTTGTATTATGTAAGGTATATGATCTATTCCTTAACGATAATGATTAAGAGAGCGGACTTTTGATTGAATATTGAACAAGACATCTCAGCAAGCAGTCCACTAGCGGAAGAAACTGCGAGTATATTAGTATATTACAATTCGTGTGGAGATTGAAGGTAAATGAGAAGAATCTCCCGGAAGGTTTGAAACTTTGAAACCAAGCAGGCACCTTATTTTTTTGTAAGACTTTTCTTGGTACTTTTATACTTTTGATTAATCAACGACTTTAAAACCATGTCTTTTGCTTACTTTTGCAATGCTCACGAGAAAGGCTTTTCTAACCGCCTTCATATAACATTTTGTTTTTAAACTGTGCTCAATCTCTTGGAATTTGAAAAATTTTCACCTGAACATAGGCTAAATGTTATTACCAACTGAAAATTGGCATTCACAGTAGGCATATATAGTATTAGGGCATGTTTACTTACAAGGAATATAAATTAGAATATTTTGGTTCTTGAGTTCTCCGCATTTTTACTAATATATGGGTAAATGAATGATTTCAATTTTTGCGCCCGGTTTGATTAAACGGCCCTTACACACCTCTCACCTAGAGAAATTCTCTAAGTTGTGCATGATCCGTATTGACAATGTATCCCCACAATATAATGACAATATAATATCTATATATTATCAACATAATGGCTATACATTGTTAATACACTACACTATTAGTGTGTCATGCACAATCATGCACACAAACCCCTTCCTAATACCTCTCGCTGTAGAAACTCCAATGGTTTAATAGTGACACCAATGGCATTTAAGACTTTAGGCTTTGACATGAGAGAGCCCAACGATGAAAGTTATTGGGTTGGGCAAGGCAACTTGGTAGCTAGATCTACTTAATTATATATATAGGAATTCTAATTTTCTCTTATATATATATATCTGCTCCAATGAAATGGACTCTTTACTTGATATGATATTACATCCAAAGTTAAGGTAGTGGGAACCATGACCTAATGGATTGTTGAATAATCGCCAATTATGAAGACTAGAAAGTACTGATTCATGTAGTGCGGCAGAAGTGGGCTAATTCACAAATCAAAAGGTCGAGCTACCGCAAAAGTCGCTATACCTTTACTTATTACATGCAATTGTTGAACCGTACTTGTCGTGTGCATGGCAAGCAACAGAACAAAAGTCAGAGGAAAACACAGAGGAAAAACAAATGAAAAGAATGTTGCGGTGGCTAAATAATAGAAATAGTCAACACTGAAGCAACATCAACCCTCAACCATATATATTGGTTGTAATGAAAGACCAACCCTAACCATTTCTAACAACGCTAATAAAAGAAATAGAATAAGAATTTGTTTCCCAGTTATCATCACTTTGAAGAAAGAATTGTCAAGAAACAGTTTACTGAATAAGAACATGACAACAATACATTATCATTATTAAATTTATAAAAACTTAATAAGTAAACAAATGCGTATTAAAAAGAAGTATCAGAAAAATTGTGCCAAATCATTTGCAAAGTTATGTGCAATAAGTATAGGTGTGAAAATTTTGTAACAAGAACCATTATGTGATTTTCAGCAGCATTCTCGCTTATTTATCTAAACTACATCGAGAAAAATTTGAAAAATGCACCCTATCTTTTAAACTCAAAACTATTTAAAAGCTTTTATGCGTTCTTGATTAATTAGTATTTATGGTGCCTATCTATCTTGAGAGAGTGAAGCACACTGCTCTGCTTAAAAAATCAATTGTTTTTGTTTTTTCGATAAGCTTAATAAACAGTACAATGAGATTAGGTTTACGGTGGGTTCGGTGGATATAGATATAGGGCACCGCAAAATATATCTAACGAATGGAAGGAGCATACATAGCACAGCTGGGCAAACGGTCCAACTACCGAGCCCTAACCCTTCTAAATTTCAACACCAACACACCAAACAAGTCATCCAGCTACTGTATGACACTGGACCCACTTACTTAGCTTCTGGGTCCCACCCAAACTCCTTTTAAAAACACCTTGCAAACAATTTGACCCCTACTCCATCTTTCTCGAGCTGCTCTTTGATCATATAATTACCTTGATCTTTGTTCTTTCTTCTCCAATAAAACCCACCTGATCAGTTCTTCTGCTCCATCATCTTTTGTTCAAGTTAATTAGCATTACTGCTAGTTAGTTAAAACAAAAGTTGATTAGTACGTAATTAACATGATGGATTTTGTGTGCTCCAAACCAGATGCCAAAGTCTGGGATATTTGTGAAGCAGCTGCTAACTATAATTACAAAGGGTTTATTAGGTCATCAGATTTGAGTTCTCCTTCTTCATCTTCAGCACTTGAGGATTCTGAACTTGTTTCATCTGATCAGTCGACAGAGACTACTACTGTTGAGGACGACGATTACATTGCCGAGTTGACACGCCAGATGACTCACTACATGCTTCAAGATGATCACGAGAAAACCAATACTACTAGCTCTCAGAAAAACCAAGAGGTAAACCCATGATTAAAAATTAATACTTATATATGTATATATATGCACAAGGGTAGAGGGGGAATTCAAGCTTGGATGCAGCAAATGTCTACTAATTGTTGATAATATTATGTGGTTAATTAATGAGTTTTCTTCTTTTTCAGTTTTTGGGTTCCTTTGGTTGGCCACAGTACTCAGTGTGGTCACCGTTGGGGTCTAGCCATGGCAGCTCAGAAGGGTCATCTCTTGAACCAACGCCACCAGAAACACCAGGCAAAGGCAAAGTTAGGAACAGCTGTACCTACGCCGACGTTTTGAGAAAGTTGGACAAGTTAGATACAAGAACAACCAACGAAGGGTTAAATCATCATCGGCGAATAGACCCAAGTACAAAAGTAGACCCAGGGGTTGGATTTTTCTCAAAGCAAGATCTATCTTGCGGTCAAAGCCAAGATTTCCAGGTAAGAACTGAATTCTAATTTTTTGGTAGTTTTTATTACTGTTAATAAGTTTCTCGAGTGATTGACTGGTACCAATCTAAGTTAGATGTATGATGCACTTGTTATTGTGTTTATCAAGTTTCTAGAATGATTAGCTGGTAACGAGTGCCGATGAATTGTACACGAGCCATTATCGTTGATATTTTACTGATTTAGTAGTAACAAAGTATTTATTTTCCCCTTCCAAATACATATATTTATCTGACTCATATATGTCATACTTTTGACAGAAACTTGAGGCTTATTATAAGGTAAAGCAAGAGGACATTTCAAAGAAACAAGGATCATCAGCAAACGGAGGGAGACAAGCCAAGATTTGCCATGAGCAATTTGAGCCTAATAATTATCAGCACTTGAATAAAGGAGGATCTTGTATTGGGTCTATTAATGGAGGAAGGTCAAAGTCTCCAACACAAATTGGATTGCCTGGTTCGAACCCATGGTTGAACCAGCAAGCAGGACCCGGTATGAGGGCTGTTTTCCTTGGCGGGTCGTGTTCGAAAATTGGGTCATCTTCTGGGACAGGAGTATTTTTGCCTTGTGTTATTGGTAGCACTTCACAGTCACCCAAGAAAAGAGGTATACATATAATAAGTTAAATCTTTAATTTCTCAATTTGGTGTCGCATTCGAGTGTTAGGGTTTTAAGCGTGATGGGAGCAACTTTTGTGGTTTCCTAGTCGTTGGAGTGGTTGGGTTGGAAGTGGAATATCACCTATCCCATTTACAAGAAATATTATTCATAATATTCGGATTGCTTATGTGTGTTGCATCTTTTGGTGTTTGACTTTGGATCTAGAAAAGGCGTCCTTATTATAAATTAATTAAAGATTCTTTTTGATCCCTAGTCTCAAATTGTGAAGAGGTTTTTCTTTTCCTCTTTCGTAAATAAAACTATATTTGAGTTTTCACTAGTATGTAATATTTTTTTTCATATATGTACTGAACTCAACAACTACAAAAATCAAACTTCAAATATTTCACTTATTAATAAAGCAAAATAACATCACAAAAATTGAGTGGGGGGTTTCTGTGTTCTAAATATTCCTTTTAGTCCCCGATCTCAAATTAGGATGTCTGGTTATTTATTCTGAAGATTCCTTTTTAGCTCCCAATCTAAAATTGGGTAGTGGCCAAAATTTTTGTTAGCTAGTTACTGGTGTGAAAGGGAATCTTTATATGGTCCACTAATTGGTGTTTTTTTTTTTGTGGTCAAAGTCCACTAATTGATTGGGGTTTGGTCTTTTGGCAAACTCTCTTTTTTGGTTTAGGAAAGGGATCCTCTCTAGATCATTTTCATCTAATCCTCCTCATCAAACAATTCGGACTCTGAAAATTTGATACAACGGCTAAAGTCATTATAACTTTTAAAGTGAGCTCATGTTTTTAGCCGTTAGATCAAATTTCAAGGATCCAAATGGTTTGATGAAGAGGATTAGATGGAAGGGATTCAAAGATGATCCCTTTCCTTTGGTGTATTGTTAATTTCTTAAGTAAGCTTAAGAGATAAAGAAAACAATTAATCCGGCAACTTCTCCTTATCAATTAGAACACTCAAAAAATTAACAAGTATTCTTTATATTTATATTGAATTGATTCTTCTCATACTGTAACATGTTATATTATCAAATTATCATGGTAAGGTTATGAATTAAACTGTTTGATATATTGGAAGAACCAAATACCGTCATAAGCTTTCTAAACTAACATTTCGGCTCTTTTTATTGTCAACGTATAGGATGTCCCCCGGTTCTTATACCCGCAAAGGTCGTGCAAGCCTTGAAAGTTCACTTTGACAGAGTTGGTGACCTACCTCGACCTAATGCTTATGGTACCTCTACACAAAATGGTACATATGTCAACACAGATCTATTCGTATTACTCTTTGCTTGAAAAAGATTTTTACACGAATAAAAATTTGCACAGTATGTTATTTTGTCAATTTCAATCGTTGATTAAACAAAATATTATTAAAAAAAGATTCAGATTGATAATTTAATAAATAACGATGCATGTAAAATATCTCAAATAAACATGCACCAAACGTTAGGATACAGTATATATGTTAAGTTTGGTCATGGATTTTGGGCTTACTCTCTAACTTCTTTTCTTCTTCTTTTTTTTTTTTTTTTTTTCTTGTTAAAGATGCTTTGAAGGGTGGTAGGGCAAACACGCATTCAACTAATAAACGTCACCCGCGGACGGTACCGGACATGAACACTAAGGAGATCGGTCTGCCTCAAGAATGGACATATTGACGCGCAGTTAGCACATCACATGCAATGCCTAAATATTCATCACCACCACCGATATTGTTAGTATCGCTCTCAGATGTGGTTGCGTGTTTTGGCATTTTATTCTTAGAAAAGAAGAAAAAGTCCAAGAAAAGAATAAAGAAGAAAATGACGGACAGAAGAATTTCGGAATCTTAAGATAGGTAGATTAGGACAAACAAATACAGATTTAAGTATATCATCCCTTTTTTTCATATACAATTTTTGAATAAACAACAAGTTTGAATAATGTATACAGCAGGAAGCTCTTGACCGGTAATGCAACTACTTGTGCCAACCCCTACTTGTGATGTAAAAGGATGTATTTTGAAAATCCTAGTGCCAATTCTGCTTTCATCATGTGGGGTAACTGAACTTCTGCTTGTTTTTCAAGCATTGGTTTCTTCATAATTTAGGCGTTTAATTTGTCCTTGAATAGCCTTTGGAGCTCTCTATCTAGTTCATGCTTATAGGTGGAAGCTCTTGTAGAAAGAGTTAACAACACATACATTTGTTTCCCATGCCAATTCATTAAACAACAGGAAAACCCAAATGCAATGAGGTCTGACTTTTGGAGCCGAATATTTAAGCTTTCCAAAATTTAGAATTTGGACCTAAAGTTGTTTTTGAGTGTGTTTGAAAGTGCCTTTAAAATGACTGAAAACTAGTAAAAATATTAGTGAATCTTAGAAAAACACTTAAGTCCTCGAAGAAGCAATAATAGGTGCTTTTTCCAAAATTCACTTCAAGTGCTTTTGAAATTCAAAAGTACTTTCACCAAAAGTGCTTATTTCAATCATTTTAAGGGCTGGTTTGGTATTGCTGTGCTTTGAAAAAAAGCTGCTTCTGCTGTGCTGTGAGAATAAGCAGCTGTGAAATAAAGCAGCAGAGTGTTTGGTAAACTTTTTTGTAAAAGTGCTTTTGAAAAAAAAAAGCAGTATTAGAGTGTTTGGTAAACTTTTATGTAAAACAGATGTGAAAAAAAGCTGGTTTTTCAAAGCTAGGTTTTGCAGCTTCTTGTTTTTGGCTTTTTTTCATCCAAAACTGTGAAAAAAAACTGAAGCTAAGTGTTTACCAAACACAAAAACAGCTCCCAACTTTTTTTGATAGCAGCTTTTTTCAGAATCACCTCAGTACCAAACCAGGTCTAAAAGCTCTTCAATCCCAAGTGTAACATTTGGCTAGAAAAAAAATTGTCAAGCAATAGCTTTATTTTTTACGAGCTTTAATTAAAGGCCTAATTGGATTATTAGTCCCTATGGTGATACGCTAGTTGGAAGATAACATATGTGGTTAAAAAAAAAAAATACCTAGAATTTAAGCTCATGCGGTGAAATTTTTAGAATTTATACCCAAAATTAAATTCATCAATTCTCTGTTAATTATTAGTACGTAAGCCACATATATTAAGCTAAAACGGAACTTTCCGTTAATGGTTAGCATGTGGGGCTTACATGTAGGCTAACTTTATATTTTTAGTCTCAAATGTGAGCCTCATATGCTAACAATTAATGGAAAGTTCATAAAATTTTTAATTTTGTGCTTAAATCCTAATAACTTTACCACAGGGGTTTATATCCTAATTTTTTTACCACATGACTATCTTCTAACTACTCTATCATCACAAGTACTATTAATCTAATTAAGCATTAATTAAATGGACTTCATCAAACTTTTTCTTAACAAAAAAACACTATGAAATCTTTATTTAATAAAAAAGACACAAATTATGCACTTACTCAACTTTTATTAACAATAAGAACAAAAAAAAAATATTAATAAAATAATTTAAAAAAAAAAACATGGCGCAGACGCAGTCAGACCATGAGTGGGTCTCTTACCCAAAAGTTTGATTTTAGTTCAAAATGATCAATACATAGAATCAGAACAGGTCACGGGAGCACAGTTGAGGCACATACCAACCACATATGATTCACGCACTCTTTCTTTCGCTCATCCCATCGTTTCTCTATCTCACTCTCACACATGTATGGGTTTTTGTTTTTTTTTTTTTTTACCTCTCTCACTCACCAGTCTCCACCTCTGTTCCTTGTCCAATTTTCTTGGTTTTTGTTTTGGCTCATCCAGTCTCTCTCTCCTCCCTCCTCGCGCCCGGACCATGAGTGGGTAAATGTACTTTGTCCGACGAAAGTTGGTTTGTCGGGCAAAATTGCATATGGCAAATCGTAATTTTAGTGTGAGAGAGAGAAGGAGAGAGAGAGAAATTTGATAGGATGGGTGAAAGAAGAGAGAGATAGGTGCATCTGTACTATTATTAAGATAATCATTATTGTTAACATTTTGTCTTTTTTTTTTTATTTTAACCTCATTTTTTATACACAATGTTTACATAAGGAGGGCAAAATAATAATTTTATATCTTTTGAAAATTTTGTCCTTTTTTTCCTATTTTGCCCTCACTTTTAATACACAGTATTTACATAAGGAGGGCAAAATAGTAATTTTGTATCTTTTGAGAAAATGACGATCATATCCCTATTTTTCCAATTTTACCCACCATCATTTTTTCATACTGGTAAGTGAAATCATGATTTTTATTTTGATAGTTTGAATCAACTGAAGCGGTTGCGCTTCAAGAGAACGTGGGAGGAGGTAGGCGGTTGAAGAAACTTTAATTTTGTACTTTTTGACAAAATGACAATCATATCCCTATTTTTCTTATTTTACCCTCATTTTTTTGAGAAAATGACAATCATATACCTATTTTTTCTATTTTACCCTCACTTTTAATACACAATATTTACATAAGGACAAAACAATAATTATAAAGAAAAAAAATATGCACTTATTAAGAGAAATTGTCTCATCATCATTATTTCATACTCTTTTAAAAAATTTAAAAACTAATCACACTCCTTAATCAATAACAAAAACTAAAATGAAATTATTCATACACACAAAATAAAATAATAAGTAGAAATAGACTGAAAGTCTAAAATGCATTTTCTCTTTGTCCCTTTATAACAAAAAGAATTGGTTGTAATCTTGCCCCTGGTTTTACCAAAATGCATTTTCAATTTGTCCCTCAAATGTCAAGACTGTGTTGGTTGACTTTACAACCATGGCTCGTGGCTTGCATGCATCCAAAGTGCAACCTAAGCTTTTTGTAGGTTCCAGGAGACTCACTACTATATCTTTGCTTGTTCTTAAGATCTCAAAATCAGGTCAAAAGTTTACTACTAATCATACTAATATTGTCTCAATTTATTATTTATACAACTCGACACATGTTAGGTTTTATAAAAGACAAAAACTTGATATTATATCTAATTTTATAATATAATAATGAATTGTGAAACCATTCATTTATCTGTGAACAATTTCATTTTAGTTTTTGTTATTGATTAAGGTGTGTGATTAGTTTTTAAAAATTTTAAAGAGTATGGAATAATGATGATGAGACGAGTTCTCTTATAATTATTGTTTTGTCCTCCTTATGTAAATATTGTGTATCAAAAATAAGGATAAAATAGAAAAAATAGGTATATGATTGTCATTTTCTCAAAAGATACAAAATTAAAGCCTCTTCAACCACCCACATCCTCCCACGTTATCATGAAGTGCAACTGTTTCAGTTCATCCAAACTACCCAAAAAACATCATGATTTCACTTATCTGTATGAAAAAATGATGCTGTGACAATTTCTCTTTATCTGATGTAAATATTATGTATCAAAAGTGAGGGTAAAATAGGAAAAATAGGGATATGATTGTCATTTTCTCAAAAGATACAAAATTACTATTTTACCCTCCTTCTAATTGTAGCATGGTGATCCCAAAATACATCAGAGTCATCAGAATTCTCATAGTCTTCGGAAAACTGTGGCTAAACCATAATATGAACAATTAATACTAGATATATGATGATTAAAGTTTAAACCAACCAGTAATGCATAACCAAAATTGTATTCTGAGCTTTAAGAAAGAAAACACACCTCACCAGACTTCCCATTCGCGACAGCGGCCGAATCTGCCTCATCATCATCTATCTGCAAGTTACAACCAATGACCTCGTCCTTAATTCAGTTTACTAGGATTTACACACTGGCCAGACGGGATCCAGATAGATTAATGTCAAATTGAACACATAAAATGCAAATAAAGGTAAGTAGTACTTTCACATAAGTATATAAAAAAAAGAGACTAAACCTTTATTTTTGCATTGCTCACATGATATCATTCGGGGTTTAGAACGGGAATGTCCCTATGATGGTAGTTTAAACCAATCACGTACTATCATTAGTTTTATTTCCTCGCTGAAAAATACATTATTGGCATGAGATAAAACTACAGTGGCAACCCCGTTATGGTAAGTTTCTCCCCAAGTGATCATGCTAAGTCTGCATAACAATTGGAAGAGGGTTCAATGTTTGTAGCCTTGCCATCAGATCGGCCAACTCATATTCAATGCACATTTTCGATGTAATTGTAAATAACAAAGAAAAATAAAGGCAAAAATGCTTGCACCCTTTAAAACATTATGTTGATGTCAGGATCATCTATGAGATTTGCGGAGTTATATGCGAAATTTATAAAAAGGCTCTTCTTTAAGATGGTTTTAAAATAAAATAAAAAAAAGGACAAAACAAACACTTAAACCAAAACAAACCTTAGCACTCATTGATTGCAAGTTTATAAATGCCATTTATAATAAGTAAAAAGAACTACAAACATAGCCTTCACTAAATAATCAAAATTAGTTCAATATTCAACAACCAAACAAGAAAAAAAAAATTTCAAAACTCTAACTTTATTAAAATTTCACTTAAACATATAACATTATATAAATAAAATTGAAAAAAAAAATCATTTTTTGGGGTGTTATCATTAGCACTCAAAATATATCATTATACTCCGTATTTTTATATGTAGAAAGAAAACATTACGCTTATAAAGAGTGCATAATGACATTTTTTTTATTTTATTTTTTAACAAACGATATTATCTACAATAAGGGGTGGTGAAATGGGCTAAGCCTTACAATGGACCAGCCAAAATAATGTGGTTCAAATTCATCTTTGATGAGAATCGAATCTAAAATCTCTCACTTACAAGTAAAGAGAAATGCCAAAAATTTCAAGGACCGTCAAATTTGGGGCCCTATGCGCATACAAATATAGTAATATTATTTAGACACATCAAAATCAAATAGTATAATCGAACCTGGTTCATCTTACTTAGCACAACAAACCAAATCAATTAGTTGCCCACACGCATCATTTTCGGCTTAATTTTTTACATGAGATCACTTTCATGTCACTAATTAAACACAATCACCAACTTTTTGTTTTTTGGTTACAAACAACTAATCCAAGTGAAAGCCTTTTTGTTTTAATA